CCCGCCGTTGTGACGGACGTTTTGACTGCCGGCGGGCCGCGGCGCCGCGAGCCGTGGTTGTATGCGCGGGCTGTGCAGCGACAGGGGCGCTTAGCGGGGCGTTGTGCTGTGGAGCAGCGAGGGGCCGCGCCTGCGGTCTTGGCGTGGCGGCGAAACGGCCGCCCCAAGGAGGGTGATGGCGCTTTGCAATGGAAGGGGATGAAGGGCTGGGCCCGCTCCGTGCATTGTGCGGCTGGGCAGCGGTCCCTTCCCCAGCATAGGGCAGCTTGAGTGCAGTTCAGATCAGGAGCCATGCAGGCAGCGGGCTTCAGGCTGTGCAAGCCGCGCAGTTGCACTGATCCTGGCCTCATGCGCTGGCCTGAGGGGGCTGCGAAACATCAAGGCCGAATGAAGTGTGGACCTGTGAATGCATGATATGCGGCTCATAGGCTGGCTTGACCTCTGTTTGCCTGTCGGCATGCCTCAGTCACAGCGCACCCTTTGAATGGGGCTTGCTATGCTTCAGGCTCAGGGGTTGACTGTGTTCAGCCGCTTGATAATACCCAGAACACGTCCCAGGATTTTGGCATGCTAGTGGGACGGAGCCTTAAGCACCCCTGAACACGTCTCCACAACGCCACAAGCAGGGTGCATGAACGGCTCCCCAGTCGACCAGCCCCGGCGTTGGCCCGGCGGTCCATGGGCGCTGACCCATGGCGGGCGGTGCAGCCAGCACCATCCCAATTCTTTCAGCATTTTAATTTGCCCAAATGCGACACCGGGATTTTCTCAACGGCTTAGCCTCGGGTGCGAGGGTGCGCTTTTCTGCGGGCGGCAAGGCACCCTGATAGGGCGGTGTTCGGTATGAAAAGGTTTCGCTTTTTCCCCGGTTCAATATGTGAAGCAGCGTGCAGGGCTTTCGGTACCTCATTTTCCGCAAAGCTGACAGCGACAGTCGGCCAGGGGTCCGAGAAGAGATTTCCTCTTGGATGAGGCTCGCCCGCCGCCCACGTCTATTAGCGAAACTTTTGAGCTGACTTCTAGGCGTCATCATGCTGAGGTACAGAGCATAAATGCCGCCATCAGAGATACACGGGACCGCTCATCACGCGGAGCCCCTGTCGGGCTGCCCCAACGCCTCGCTGATGGGACCTAGCGAGTTCTGCGGCGATGTTTGCGCCGACACCGCCTCTGCTGGCCTCGCGGGTCCAGGGCTGCTGAGTGTCCAGGCTGCCCTGCAGGCTGCTGCGGGCTCCAGCAACGAAACTGCTGTGCTGCATGGCGTCCTCCGCCAGCTCGTCCATGCCGTGAGGCCCGACGATGCCGGGACAATCTCGATGGCGCGAGCCCTGCGGATTGCTCGGGACGACCCCAAGCGCGGCACGGCCCTTGCGATAGAGGTCATCAGCCTCATGCGTATGGCGGAGCAGCTGCGGGCGCGTCTGGCGCCGGAAGGTGGGTCTGCGGCGCGCGCGCACGGCAGCCACAACCGTCGCTGAAACCTCCGCGCGGGCGCGTCGCACAGGAGCTCTCGCGCTTGCTGTATGCATGCATCTAAAGTCACACCAAGCGAGCTTGCGGGGGCGCGCGAGGGTGCGGCCGCCTTTGGGGTTAGTCTTGGGCTGCACCCCCCAGGCATGACTTTGTCCAGACTGCTCTGCTCCCTGCAACCTGCGCGCCTGGCATGCCGGTCGCCTCCAAAGCCACCCCGCCCAACGCCGTGTCCCCCTCTCCAATGTAAAAACGCCGTGCCGCAGGCACTTCCGGTCGTTCGGACGAAAGCACGAGCTCCCAAAGCACCAGCAGCAGCGCCAGCGCGGGCTGCTCCCCCCCGCCGGGCCTCGTCCGCGCCGCCCACGGCTGCAGCTGCGGCGCCGTGGCCGCGGCCGGCGGCGCCGCTTCTGCCGACGCCGAGGGCGCCACGAGCGACTGCAGCTCCCTCGAGCGCTGGCCGGGCAGCTATGGCGGCAGCGGCGCGTGCAGCTGCGGCCCCGCGGCGTCGGACGCGCCCAGCTGCGATAGCG